GTGACCTGCTGAGCTCCAACGGGACCCATGGGGCAGGAGGGGAGTCGACGGACAGCGGTGCCGAGCCGGGGTCAGACTTCCAACGCAAGGAGATGAAGCAGGAGCCCGATGACATCCTGCCCATCATGCCCCCGTCGGGAGGAGGCAATAACAGCCTGTTCCCTGACCTCAACCTGAACGAGCAGGAGTGGAAGGAGCTGATGGAGGAGCTCAATTGTTCGGTGGCCTCCGAAGACATCCAGGATATTCTCAACGATGGCTTTGAGGACCGCAAAGACCCTCTGGAGCTGGTACCAACTCCAGGTGGTGGTGGGGCAGTGGGAAGAGGAGCAGGAGGAGCAGCAGGTGGTGGGGGAGGCCAGCCATCACAGGGTCTGCTTCCTCCAGATCTGGCCAGTGTTAAGACGGAGTTCTCTCCAGCCTTCGAGCAAGATTCTTGCATTGGCTCCCCCCATGTCAGGTCCACCCCCTCTGGGCCACCTCCACTCCCCACCAGCTCCCCTGTTGTCTCCTCCTCTGCCACTTCCCCTGCTCTGCCTCCATCGCAGCCCGCTCCTCACCCTCGGCAGCTTCAACCTCCCCCAAACCACATCCTCCCTCCAGTACCCCCGGTGACCAAAGACCTGTCTCCGGCCCAGCAGCTCCAGCACCTGGCCGCCCAGCAACAATGGGCACAGCACCTTCATGGTCAGATGCAGCACAAACAGCCACAGCCAGGGGCCAAGTTCCACAATCCGGGGCCCCATGCTCACCCCCCGCCGTGGCCCCAGATGGCCAACACCTCTCAGAGCCCACTAGGGGGTGCATTTGGTTTGGACAAGTCCACAAGCCCCTCTTTGTACCCACAAGACTTCAACCCTAATGCCCAGAAGCAGCTTCTGATGCCTGGTCAGCCCAACAAGGGCTCTCCCAAGGCAGGGGCCAGCAGTTACATGCCAGGACCCGGCGGGCACCCCAACATGCTGGGTCACCCAGCTTCAGGGCCGCCTCTCAGCCACCCGCCAGCAGCAGGAGCTCAGGCCCCAGTTGCCATGCTGAACTACAACAACACCAAACCTCTGTCGCACTTTGAGGTGCGCTCTGGACCGCCACGGCCCCCCAACACCCAGAGCCAGAACAAGGCGGCCCTGCTGACATTGCTCAGACAGCAGCAGCAGATCAAACAGAAGAACAGCATGAACTTCCGCCAGCACCTCCCACACTCGCAGGTAAGAAACACCCTGACACCACAAAGAATCCACCTGTCACCGCCTCAGGGGTAGCTTTACAGCAAGGGAACAAGAGTTGGTGCTCAGCCGATTTTACATCCTTGTAATTTCACTGCCATTTATCCAGAGAAACATCAATGAATCCAACAGCAGTTCATTTTACTTCATTAAATATTACAAAAACATGACAGATTATGGTTGGAACAGAAGCAGATGTATGAAAAATGTGTGTTTAATTTATGCCTTAAGTTTCATTCTTGACTATGATCCAATATTTTGAACTTGTATTAGGACTCGTGAATTAATTGAATAATAATTGCAACAGAAAAATGGTTAAAAATGTCAGTGTGTATGTAGTGGATGCAAAGAAAACCTGTTGAAACACTTTAAATTGTTAAAGTAAGTGGAAGAGTAGATTCAAACGTGATCATGTCTGTCGTAGAACAATAGCGAGGGACCCTTATGAACTTTGAAACAGGTTCCGTTATTTTCTATTGGCCATACAGAGATCTGTTCCTAATGTGCTTTCAACACAAGGGATGCTGAGCAGAAATATAGTCCACAGTTGTCTGAAGTTACTGAGTGGTCTGACTTAGCCAAAGAAGCTGGTATGAAAGTGCCTCTTTGTGTTTCCCTGGACAGACTAAAACTTCACAGAATGTTTTCAGCCTTAAAGAGGGCTGCACTCCTAAACATGGTCAGAACCACAGTTGCAGTACGCTGTGTAGGGTTGAAACTCAGTCAGTTCCACATAACGTTTAGTTGGAACAGAGGCTGTGCCGTGTTTATTCACACAACGTTTTATGTTCATTTGTGGGTGTGAGTAGCAGCCTCCTGTATCCTGAATTTCCACAGTGTGGTTGTACTGGATTTAGTCCAGCAGATACAGTTGAAGACCAGTACAGAGTAGTCTAACTTTGTGGTGCTGAGTGGAGGTGTGGTCGAGCTGCACCAGGGGGAGGCCTTTTGTTCAGTTGCTCTGCTTCAGACTAGCCTGGGCCCCATGCTGTAGCATCTACACACAATGTGTGTGTGTGTGTGTGTGTCGAGGGGGCAGCTGGTTGCTAAGGCTCATGTAGGGAGAAGGGAGGCCATGACAAAGCAGCCTTTCATATTCTTTGTCTGTATTTAAATATAGCTGCTCATGCTTGTTTGTGCTACACTTCATTAACAGTTATTATCACAACTGCTGATTTCTGACTCTGCCACTGAAACAAAGACATCAGTGTCAGTAATATATCTTGTAACAGTCTACATAGACTTTCTCCATGTTTGATAATTGTCCTGTCCAGAGAATGAGTCCCATTGTTTTTAATAGATGCACCCACCAAAGACCAGCAGTGCCAGTGAATGTGGTGTCCTCACTGTAATGTGTGTGAGTCCAGACCCTGTTTCAGCTTATTGCTCTGTGCCATAGACCTCCACTGTTATCCACCAGTTATTAGACCCCCAGGTTTCCTCCTCAGCAAACACAGGAGGCCGTCTGTTTCCAGCACACA